AAAAAAAAAAAAAAAACAGAGACTAATAAGATGGGCTTATTAGGTTAAGATGCATTAGGACAAAACCTCATGGAGGGTCCATGATAATAATGATATTGTTTTAGTGTTGTTCGCATCGCATGCATGCCATCTAATTCCCTATTCAAACTGCTGATTATGACTAATCATATTGGTTTCCACTTCTTTTAATGCTTTTTTTTCCCCTATTCTTTGCTTGTCCCTTTGCAAAAATAATATTCCCCCCCATCAAAGCTGTTATAAATTGTCATCTGATAGGCCAACTCTGCATCCTAAAATGCAATCTCTAATCCCAATAAAGTTTTCACCGTCAGATCAACAATACACGCACGAGTCTAGGCGATCAGACGATTACAACTCACATAAAGACAGTACCAACATATAGGTTTGACTCATGACTGAAAAAGAAGTTAAAGAGAAGAATATAGATTAGCAGTAAAAAAAAGTTCAATAAACAAATCACCCGCCTACTCAAACCGTAACATGCCACTCGCTATATACTCTTTAGTCGACCAGGTAGCCGAGAATTTGCTAGTGAGCATCTTTTTTTGTGGCATAAATGAAATGAAATGTGTTTTAGACACAAATATGTTTGTATGTATACCGGGTGATGTCATCATCATGTCTTTATGCCTTGAGATCATCCGACATGGCTGATGGTATACAATGGGTTGAAAGAATGTCCAATGTAGCTGCTTTCGCATTCTTTGTTTGTAAGACGGCAATCTGTACAAATTAGAGATGAAAAGTTATACATATTGCAAAAGAAAGGGAAAAAAAACAAAAAAAGGGAGAAAAAGAAGAAGGCTTTTTTGCCTGTTGGTATTCTAAGTCGAATTTCAAATATTCATCATCACAGCTCTCTACCATCCTAGCCAAGCTCTTCAGATTCTTCACAGGCTGACCGTTGAAGGCGTGAATCTAAACATATATCCAAACAAAGGATAAAAAAAAATGTTGGGAGAAGGAAAAATGACAAAAAAAAAAAGGAAAGGGAAAATCAGAGTGTAAAAATGCTAGCAAGTTTAGAAGTTAATAACCTGAGTGTTAACAATGTCCTCGTATCCAATGTTGATGTCGGCCACGAGCACCTTTGAAGAATTTCACAAACAAAGAAAGAGTTAAGCAAGATATGAGAGTATCTCTAAGATATAATTTAAAATAAAAAAACGACAGCACTATAGTTCTTTTGAAGATTAACCTGAGAAACGACAACAATTTGTTCCTCAGGTAATTGCTGCATTCCGTGCATGAGTTTGTCCAACAACTTTACTGGGCCTTCATACTCGTACTCCTTCCCATACTGGAGGTATAAATAATGTCATGGCAGATAATAATAAAAGAAAAATATCGGAAGCACAAATATAGGAACACTCTTTGACAGTTATCTACCAGTTATCTACATTCTTAAATAAGTGAAAAGACATAACATCATTACTAACAAGGTGGAATTAAGGAGTTGCACCTCCAGGGGCGATATACTAACCTCAGAACGGAGATATGGAACTGAAACAGTTGTAAAAACAAAACCAGCAATAATGTAATATGAGGGAGGTTGGCCTTTGTTGTGAGCTGGAATGAGCCATCTATGCGAGCCGATCTTGATGTTGAACTTCAGAGATTTAGAATCACGAAGAACTTCTATTACAGCATCATCCCCAGTATACTTCTGTGACACAAGGTAACTAAAGCCTATGCGCTCTCCATGCCTAAATGGAACTGCAATCAACCAAAACATGAGTTATGCACCAAATCATGCTAAGATAATATTAAAAATAAATATTTCTTCTCTAGAGAAAGTTATTGCAATAAAATATATGATAGAAGGAGATTCTTTTCCACAGTACTCTGTTTTACGCAGCAAGTCCAACCCCAATAGATAACGATAAAACCAGAAGTTGGTAGGTGAATGTTATTTCGAAAACCAGAATTTGATTACACAAGCATACACAAAGTGAACGGGTAGCGAGGAAGGTGAAAGTTCTAATATTATTCAATAAAGTAAAGACGGAAACACTTTACATGTGCATGTCACCTGTTCCATCATTGGCAATATTAACGCCATCAAAGCTAAGGATGATATCTGATGGTCTCAAGACCTGGAATTCTGGAGCAGTGGGGTCAATTCTTCTTATACGCACACCTTTCTGGTCAGGCTTCATCCCCATGGATAACCGCAAGTCCGGATTTTCCATCTTCTGCCACTCAATCCCGAGAATAGGAAATCCTAAGGGACAACACAAAATGGTTCATGGGGAACAGAGGATTGGATGGATAATTATTGAACTGATAGAAGATCTTTTCAAAAAGTGTGATTAAATTTGAATTCAAAATACAATCCATTTTAATCTTTGCACTGTTTCTAAATTTTAATATGTCAAGCTAACTCATATTCTGAACAGCTTTCCAGAGTGATGATACCTGTGTATGTTCCATTCTTTTCATAATCTTGGATAAAGTGCATGATGACAGGTGTTGGAATGACATAGCCAATATTTTCTGCATCTTCATGCTTGAGTGATTGGAATGCAATACCGACACAGTCTCCCTTGTCATTAAAAGCAGGTCCTCCAGAATTGCCAGAGTTTATAGCAGCATCTATCTGCAGGTGAACATTGTTTGCCACAAGAAATTAGCATAAATTTATTTAGAGGCCAAAAATTAAATTAAAAAAAAAAAAA